CGTTAAGCGTGACCGTCAGACAAAAAGTCTACGAATCCAGCTTCCCGTTCAGGCTAGGCGCGCTCGCTGTTCTGGGCCCTTATTCCCCCAATTAATCTCCGCCGACGGATCCGAACTCGGTACACAGGCACAGTAGTTAGGTGGCAGCTTTGGAGTGAGAATGCAGAGATGCGACGCGATCGTAAGCCATTTGGAATTGAGTTTTTTCAAGGTAGCAGTTCGTTTTCTTAACAGTGGAGATTGTGAAGATTGATAAATGATAAGATGCTTTCCAGGACATTGAGGTGTTTCTCATTGGCCCCTGTCTAACCTGCGGGCTTGTCATCTGCAGGGGTCGAACTCTACAAACAGCGACAGCAGCAGTTGCAAGCCGTTGCTCAAGGTGTCTCAATTGGCGCCGCTGCCGCTGCATCCCTATGGTTTTTCTGGCATGATTAAGGCGACGTCAAGACCCTCTTGTCAACGGATAGTATGGGGTTCGTCCGTGAGGCACGGTTCAAGAAGGTGTCGGATCAGGAACGGGAGTTCTGGTTAGCTCGTCTCGGCTTGGCGAACTCAGCCCGGCCCGAAACGCTATTTGTCAAAGTCCGTACCTGCGTCTCTTTGTTCTCACGTCGTGGCTTTCCGACTAAAGGACTGACATGTTCCGATTCTTTCCAACTGGTTACGCTCTTTCGAGTTTGGACGCATGACGTATGACAGATCTAGCGGGAGTTCGGGCGGAGGCTCGAGCATACCGCGGCTCCGCTGGCTCAGGTCTAGTACTTAACCACCAGCGCGGTACGTCTCCCCGTTTTTGGCAATGTCTGTTCTCTCCCCCGGCGAAGTTCCTACAATGTCTTCTTTGAAGGTCGGTGTGATCGGCGCAACGGGGATGACGGGGTCTCATGCGACCGTGGAGTTGATCAACAGAGGGCACCACGTCGTTGGGGTATCGAGAGACCCATCAAGGGTTGGGAAGCACGAGCGTTATGAGCCCAGAAGCATCGATCTCGGCAGCTCGGACGTCTTGGATATATCCAAACAACTTTACGGATTGGATGTAGTTGTAAACGCCTATGGGCCCCACAGCCAGCTTGGATCATCTTTTGCCTACAGTAAGACTTTCCTGTGAAGTCTCCGAACAGTTAGCTAACATGTTCTGACAGGGTCGTTTGTTGAAATGACGCGCAAAATATTGCTTGCTTCAAGAGAGGCTCACGTACCATACTTCGTCATGGTCGGGGGAGCTGGTAGTCTGGAGATACCGGACAAGCCATATATGACGGCCGCCGACGATGCGAGGTTCTTCACAGCATACGGCAGAGCAATGCTAGCCAGCGAGGCCTACATAATGCACTGTCAAGACTGGGCAGGAGACTTTGCGACAAGGTTACGGACAGCTCGAGATGCGTGGCTTGCAGAACGGGATGGGAAGGGGACCGATGCGACGAAGAAGGTGCTAGAGGATATGGAGAAGACTATGGCAGATATGAACAGCCAGGGGGTGGACTTCATCACAGGGGCGCGCGCCACGTACATGTTCTTTGACGGTAACACGTCTTTCAAGTGGACATACATAGCTCCTCCCCCGCTATATCGGCCTGGGACAAGGACCGGTTTGTACACGGTTGAGCTCGACCGGATGCCCCTTCAACTTCAAAAAGGTGCGGAAAGCGGTGATAGCTTTTCGATATTTGATGGGCGTTTGCAGAGCATCTCGGTTCCAGATATGGCAGTTGCTATTGCAGACGAGGTTGAGCAACAGACGAAGGTTTGGAAGCACTGGTGTCCGTATACAGATGGTCTTGATGATAGACCTGGTCCAACTTATGTCACTCTTACATAGTATTACCAAGTCGACTCGATAAAAGGTGAGATTTCCCTCTGTCACAATGAGCCGTTTGGTTGGTTTCAAATCATGTACAATAGCTCATGAGGTCAACGAGATCGATAGACTATCATTCGTACTATGAAAAATAGAGGTCATTCTTGTGGCATTTGCAGCCCATCGGAACCCGTGTTCTCCATGTCCTGTTGCGTGTTCTCCATGTCGTGTTGTGAGAACGCAACACTTACTGCTTCTGCACTGAAATTGGTTGGTTTGCTACCACCTCGGGTCCTTTCGTGTCATACGCAGGCGCTGTCTCTGCCTCAGGACGATCAGATTCTGATGTCACACCTGCCGCATCCTGGCTAGCCTCCTCATTTGCCAGCCTCATCTCAAGATCAGGGTGTTTCAGCTTCCACCTCTTCATATACCACGTGCCAAACATCAGGAAGGCCCACATTGCCACCTCGAATACTGTCGCTGCAGGGTAGCCGTGCGGATATCGAGGCGCCTCGACGGTAGGAAAGGTGAAGAGGGGAATCCAGATTTGGTTGCAAAAGCCCAGGGTCATCATGGATGAGATGATCAAACCACGCTCGCCGTAGTTCTCTTTCAGGGTGAAGTTAAGCCATGAGTACTGAGAAAGTGTTTGTTAGTCGCAGCCTTCGTGTTTAGAATCTCGTCTGAGTGACCTACCAGGATCGGAGAGGCCATGCCTGAAAAGCCGCCAAAGTAGAATGCGCAGAACTTCAAAATGTCTGGGACGTTCCAGATTGATAGAACTATGCATGAAAATAGCACGAAGCTCTGGGATAGGATATCAGTAATGTCTTCTTAACTAGCCCATACCAGTGAACAACTTACTGCTTGAAAAGTCCAAAGCCCTCTGAGACTCAAGCAACCTGCTAACGTAGTACCCAGCCATGAAGACAGAGCGCGAAGGAGGTCAATGAAAGTTGGTAGGATGTTGACCAACTCGATGGAGTACTTCGCATCTCGAAGCCACAGGGCCATGTAACCGGTCCAGTAGTGTGCTTGGCATAGGAAACTGCTAGCTATTAGCCATGGCGTCCTCCATTTGAAAAGTTAGAAGCGACTAACATGTAGCACGGTACGCAGATCCACCACATTGGTCGCGAAAGCGTATACTTGAAGGTCTTCCAGGTGATACCCTCCGTTTCCACAGTTGGCATCCTCTTGATTGCAAGGGCGTACTCCTCGTCGGTGAAGAACCATCGCTTGGGAGAGATTGGTAGACCAGGCCAGAAGGCAAAGCCTAGGAATGAGATGGGAAGAGTGATGATGCCTTGGACGATGAACAGCCATCGCCAGCCAGCTCTTCCGTAGACTCCATTCAGGTTTCGGTAGGCTGCTGCTTGGAGGTAACCAGAGAACATGGAACCAAGTGAGTTACCCATGAACCATACACCCGCTCTCTTGAACAACTCTTCATTTTTGAACCAGCTACCCACTAGAATGGGTTAGGAGAGTTGCTCGCTCAGTTGCGCATGGGTACTTACGGATAAGGTGAGTGCCGCCAAATGAAGATGCCTCCAGGAAGCCTGTAACCGCGCGCAGGATGTATAAGTGCCAGCTGTGCTTGATTTCGGACTGACAGAACGCGATAACGGCCCAAATAATCTGCAGAGACGGCAGCAAAAACGGAGCGCTGAATACAGTCAGCTTTTATTTGCTTTGGAGCTTGTGTCTAAAGAGGCTCGCACATCTTCGCTTTGGTTTGAAGGGTCATCAGCGGAATCTGTCCAATGACATAGGCCGTGTTGTCTTATCAAATGTCAGCATGATCAAGTAGACAGGCGAAGGGTGTGAAACTCACATGCCACGACATAGTAATTCAGCTCATTGCCCCACGCATTGAGGTCTTCCCGCATGCCCGAGACATAAGCATTCGTAACATTTTGCTGTCCAAGAAACTGGCAATGTCAGTTAGAATCATCCACTGTATCACGTATCGATTGTTAAATTACTTACTCTGCAGAAGAAACTCAAGCTTCCAAAGACGAGAATAGCCAAGTCCAGCTTTCTCAGCAGCTTCCGCTCCGCGGCAGGATAGTGAGACGCTGGAAATTTGTCAGGGTAACTTCGAGAAGCAATCGGCACGGACGACTTACGATACCAGTCAAACACTGACAATACCACAGCTCCCACTTTGTTCTTCTTTACCGCCCGAAGAATAGCCCCCATGTTGGTCGATGTGTGCCGTAATGGTCTGCTAGAGAGTCCGAGAGGCACAGCACCTTCGGCTTTACAGCTTGCCCGACGTTTTATACGTACACCCAACTCTTCGAGGTAGGTTCCTACCCAAATTTCGTTATGTGAGCATCTTTATAAAGCTCATTGCCACTTCAGTACCCTTGCAAACGCCCAGAACCAGCGGCCTGCAGTCCGCGATAAGCTTGCAGAGTTGCAGCTTCGTTAACCTCTCCTCCGGACTTCATCCGCCGAGACCCGACCAGTTGCAGCAAGCACGCCTCTTCGCCCACTATTCGCCATTATGCCAGGAATGACGATTATGCTTCAACAACTCGGGGTGTCCAATGCTTCTGGGGAACGACGCGGGTTTGCGGAGACTGCACCATGCAAATAATCTCCGAAACGGTATGGGAGGCCAGTGTCCATCGAATCGTGAGCCGGACAAAGCATCATCCCGCCGAACTCGGTGTCCTTTTACCGGCGGGAGCACATCATACGGAGCTTGCTTACCGCGTACGCGGGGGTCTTGAGGGGTTGCTACGGTTATTTTCCGGCGCATCTACCGGCGAGGCAGACGACGTTGGCGGACCGGGGTTGGTTGTGGTGGGGATTGCGCCATCCGTTATCAAATGATGACATGCGACGATCTCGCATCCCCAACGGCCTCGGCCATATAACTTGGCCAATTTGCTTAGTGATGCCGCGGGGTAGACTTCAAGTGTGTGACCATGAAGACAATTGAGTCAAATCAACGTCGCGTTATTGGACGTGGAGGTCGTGTTGTGCGGAGTAAAGGCCGATGGAGGGTTCAGGGGGGCCGGGCTGGACTTCCGGCGAGATGCCGTCCGGAGTCGCAACCAAGGTTAATAGTTAAAATGGCGAGCTCAGAACCCTTGGAGTCTGAAAAGTCTGAGCTTGCATCAGAGATCAGCCCGCCTTCCCAAGAAAATACACCCCGCCTCACCGCCCGCCCAACATGCCTTCTGCTGTGTCTGAGTTGTACCAATACTCCCACGTCCCCGAGACGGAGGAGAACCTCGATTGGGCAGACCGTGAGTTTTCATGATGAGCTTATGCAGGGAATATTTTGCCGACTTTCTGACGCGACGCAGTTCCCACCATTGACCTTGCCAAGTACGGAACACCAGAGGGCAACAAGGAACTTGCCCAGACTTTGATCGAAGCTATCCGCACCAAGGGTTTCTTTTATGTCATCAACTACGGCATCTCACAACAAGAAGTCGACAAGCAGTTCGCTCTAGGCCAGAAGTTCTACGAGCTCCCTCTTGATGAGAAGCTAAAGTATGAGCCCAACCTTGATTCCGGTGACTACAATGGATACCGTCCTGCAGGCAGGCGGTTCCTGAGCGGTGGCATTAAGGACAAGACCGAAGTTTGGAACATGGCGACCAAGGATGGTCACATTACCCAGCCCCTGCCCAAGCTTTTGGAGGAGCGCAAAGAGGAGATTGAGGGCTTCGCCAAGGTAAGATAGATTTCTGCCGATGCCCTGGCCGTATGCTAATTCTTGTTGAAAGGACTTGCATGACAAGGTATTGGACCCCTTGAACCACCTCATCGCTCTTGCATTGGAGCTTCCGGAAGACTTCTTTACTCGTGTCCACAAGTGGGATGTCCATGACGAGTCGCATCTGCGATACATGAAGTACTCCAAGTTCACACCAGAGGAGATTGAGAAGCTCGATGACGGTCTTTGGTCTCGTGGCCACACCGATCTCGGCACCATCACCCTTCTTTTCCGCCAGCCAGTGGCCGCGCTGCAGATCAGGGATCACGAGACCGGCAACTGGAAGTGGGCCAAGCCTCTTGACGGCAGTCTGACTGTCAACACTTGCGACGCCTTGAGCTTTCTGACTGGCGGTTACGTCAAGTCTACCGTTCACAGAGTAAGCTATCCACCATCACTTTGCACAATTGTCGTACTGACTCTTCGCGAAGGTATCTGTTCCCCCCAAGGACCAGCGCCACGTCGATCGCCTGGGCCTTCTGTACTTCGCCCGTCCCCAGAATGATCTCACGCTGAAGACCATTGACTCTCCCGTCTTGAAGCGCGAGGGCTTCACACAAAATGAGTTCGAGGCCGGCGGTCACAGAGTTCCAACGATGGGCGAGTTCACGACTCTCAAGCAGACATGGCAGCAGAGAAAGGGCGTCAGCTACCAGTCATCCGAAGGCCAAGAGATTTTGCCTGGTTTCAAGGGCCAGTACTTCCAATAGTTAGATGAACAGTGTTGTAAATGTAAAAAAACACTTCATTGGCCACTGATAGGCAGGAAAGCCGTATAACAACAAAAGCTCTCCGGTGCATCGTATCTACAAGCGCTATGTCGTCCATGTTGCGTCCAGAGTAAGGAGAGAGAGAGAGGAAAACATCGATATCAAGATAATTCTCCAAGTATATCAAATCCGACTGTCACCATTTGCCTGTTTCTGTACATTCTTTCGACAGGGTGCTTGTCTTCGTGCCTTAGCAAGACGCAACGATAGTCGCAGTGCCCGTCACTCCATCTAAGGGTCCGTTGGTAATCGCAAGCTCGCATGATTTGCTGATGGTGTATTGGACGTACGGTCCTCCGCTCGGCAGCCTGACGCCCGCACTCGCACTTCCCTGCGAGCAAGAACCAGCAGTGCCTCCATTGATCGAGTCTTCGAACTGGACGAGACAGCTAGCATTGGCCGTGCCATTGGCCGGAGCGGCATAGGCGAGAGCAGCGAAAAGAGCGGCGATAATCAGGGCGAATCGAGTCATTGCTGGAGATTCCTTGTTAGTATGAGATTGAAATTGAAACTAGGAGAGGATGTGCAAAACTATACATACTGGATGTTGTGAACGAGCCGAGGCCAAGAGGATAGTAAACGACAGTAATGCTTCAATGCGTCAACGAGTGAATGTTTGGTGTTAAAAAAGTTTAATCGGGATGACCTTGGGATGAACCGTTTCTTGTTGTAGAGTTCGAAGTCTTAAATATTCTCCTATGGCCAAGAGCTAAGCTCGGTCAGTCGATTCATCGCCGGGGGGGCAGCCCGCCTCTAACGGCAATCAGGAGGCGCATTTCTTTTTTAAGTTGAGAGTGCAATACTCCTTTTTGAATCGAGTTGATTGTAAACCCCGGTCGTAATCCACTATGAACACTAATATTAGGTTCAGTAGGCGATCATCTGGTGTAAAGTCCAATGGTATGACTCGTCATGACATTTAGGGGCATCGATAGCATGACAACATATAGCTTGGCTCCCGCGATTGCAATTCCTATTTTGCTGCGATAGGAAACTTCCGTGTCTGGCATTCCAATGTCTGCGCTTCCCACAGCAAGCCACAGAAATGGTTGCAGAACACGAACGCCCGGCCAAGGCACCAGATTGCATGCGACGTAACAAAGCATAATGCATCATACACCGAGAAGCTCTACATAAATAAACTGCATACAAAAACATAACATCGGAAAAATCACATTGGATACAATCTAACAAAATATCTAGCCTCCGCTAACCAATACAATTAGACCTCAGCGGCCTGACCGGAGCCCTGATCCTTAGGCCTGCGCCAAAACGGCTGCCTAGATCGCCAAGAACCACGACTACGCGATTCTACCTCAGTCTTAGAAGTATCAGATCCTTGTTCTTGTAGGCCTTCTCTCTCAGTGGGCAGGGCGGAATTGTGAACATTCTGTAGACTCCTGCCTTGAGGCTTGTTTCCATTAGTGTCAGTGTTTCCCTGGTCGGTCTTCTGGTCTAGGTTTCTGTCCAGACGCTTTTTTCTTGAGTCTTTCACCTTGCCCTTGATCCTGTTGACTTCTTTCTCTAAGTTCTTGAGAAGATCGTCACTTTTCATAAACTTCTTATACTTGTCCCAAACCACAAGCCAGACATAGTAGGCTCCAGTATATACCAGGACCCAGGTCTCGAGCATCTTATAAGCTGACCAGAAGACAGTTCGCGGGAAGGTCCAAAGGCGAAAACGATCGACACAGAAATTACAGCAGCCGAGATCGGGACTTCATGGGCGAATATCAGCACTTATTTTGAGCCGGGGAGGAATCAGGAATTGATACGTACACATGAAGTTCGCCTGATCGCCAAAGGTCATCTTGTCTGATCCGATGGTCGAATTATTCATGCCGAAAACACTGGACATGAAGGACAACGGAAGCTTGGGGCAGTCAGTAGAGAACTTGACCATGAAGATGATGAGCGACGTACGAAAATGATTGTCACAATGGTGAAAATCATGATGGACCTGCCCTGCCGAACAGTCTCATCTGCTTGTTTAACCGACTGCCAAGCTTGCAAAATGCTGGCTTGCTGTTGCTTGAGATCGAGCAGGTCTTTGATCTGTGGGTCTTTCGTCAACATCTTCTTGCAACTACATCGATGTACCCTTCTGGGTTGGCTTACCCCTTGAGCTGTGCTTTCAGCGCTCTTTCTAAGTCCTTCAAGTTCCAGTACTCTGTCGCCAACATCTGAGATCAAGTCATATGCTTGTTTTCGAAACCAGAAGAATTCTTGCTTTTCTCTTTCTCTGATTTGCTTTGCCTCCTTGGCCTCCTTAGCCTCCTTTTCGGTAATTTCGTTCAATTTCCTCTCAAGTGAGGATGGCCGAGACGACGCAGTATTGCGATAACCTCGGTCATTATCTGGGCTCCGTGAGTTATCCCTCCATTCTCCGCTTGAGTCGTAGATGTTCTCGACATGTTTCGTGAATCGTTTGATGACTTCCTTCTGTTTGTTATTGATATTGATCATGATGTCGAGTTCGTCGATGATGTCTTTGATCTCTCGTTGAAGCTTCCCTTCAGGATTGATGTTGAGAAGTGGCGGATGCAAGTGCGACGCGTCCTCGTATTTGAACTTGGAGACATACAACTGGGAGGCTCTCTTGGTCCAGTGCCATAGATGGTGAAAGGACACTGTCTGCAAATTGGTCTGTTGTTCTCTTAGTTCCTAACACCCACCAAGTGGCAAAACGCTGGCACTCACCAAGTTTCCAATAGCGTCCCCAAATATGTCCATGACCTGAGGGTGCCGGTCCTGTGACCAAGTCAGATATCAAAAGTCGAGAGTGGTATGAATGGCTTACCGGGGTCTTGGTGCGATCAAAGAAGGTATTGGAGCACTCGTCCAGGATGATCAGCGCCACGTCAAAGACCGAACGGATCTGGTTCTTCCGAGCATTCTTGATTCGTGTCCGGATTGATTTGTGCACACCTGAGGGATCCTGCTTGTTCGCTCCGTACCGCTTAGGGAAGCTGGTAATGATCGTCTTTTTGTCGAGTATCCACATCCAAAGCTGGTCAACCATGACAACTCGAGAAACCTTGCGGATCTCACCACGGCAATGATCGCAACCGTCGGTGTCTGTTCCTATCCAGTGATCGTCCCATCTGAACGTGTCCGAAGTGTTGTCAGGGTCGCGATTGCGCTCGCAAAGATCATCCGTTTTGTGATGCAGCAGTCTCTCCAGGGCCAGGTGTTTGCGAATCCATCCCTCTTCTCCAGTACAGTCTTTCTTGCCTAGCTCGCGGAAACGATGCATGTTTCTGTCGTCCATTGTAGTACCTCGATAGACGACTTGGTCTCGGTCGCGAGCCTTTGTTGTCTTCAAAGTCCAATAGTAGGGTTGATCGAGTGTTCTCCGAGGATGCAGCGGAGGATCATGGTGAAGATACTTCTTCAGAAGCTGTTCATCCCTGTATATAGCAATGGCCTCGTAAAGCCTAGCAGCATCAAGTAGAAGCTGACCAAGTTTGCTTCTGGCCTTGATTCTTCCATGGCCGTCGGTTTTCAGCTTGGCCACGTACCATAGCTGTTGCTGCCCATCTTCGTGCTTTTCATCCTTTGCTGGTCCGGTCCTATCAGCGAAACCTTTTGCAACCTCGGTAACAGTGCGATGGATCCCGGAAAATGAAGTCGTAGATGCTCTCTTCTCCAACTCCTCCTGGATCCTACTTAAGTGGTTTGGATCTTCCGGGGGATGGGTGGGAGCCGCTCTAGTCGTTTTGAGAGGTTTGCCGGCAAAGGTTCGAAAGGCAACCCTATCCTTCCTCGCCGTTTTTGCCTCGTCATCCCGTTTCTTGCGATGCTTTGCGGTCTCTTCGTCGATTATTTTGGCGATCTTGTCACGCTTCCTGTCTTCTTCCCAATGAAGATATGGCATCTAGGGCAATGTTAGGGTGCTGGTGAGTCTACGCCAGTCCACAGGTCTCTTCACTTACGAAAAGCACGACGTTTCCTGGGTTGTCTTCTGAGTCCCAAATTTCTGTGCAATGGTTAGTAAATGATGTCGTTTGCAAGGGGCCGGTGGTGCTCACCAGACGACACTCGTTCACAAATCGCTCTCATGTGCCGCGCGTGGACCATACTCCGTCTCCCTCCGTGTTGTTGACCTCTCCAATACTCAGGTCGAAGGATCATATGACTTCTGGTCTTGACCGGGGGGGCTCGGTAAATGCGACCGTGATCCGGCTTGCGATCACCGAAGTAGCGTGCTATGGCTTGCTTGATAAACGTCAGCAGATGGCATATCTTGATAGAGCTAAAAGAGTCCTACTTCGATCCACTGGTAGAAAGGGTCAGCATCTGTTTCGAACATATGGACGGAATGATAGAGATATACTTACTGCCATGTTGTTATGAGGAATGTGGATATATCGCACCCGATCTGGATGGCCGTTCTTGTTGAGAACAATACTCTCATCCCCAGACTCTTCGCCTTCGTCTGCCTCTTCGGGGCCGTTCGACTCTGGTTTTCCGAAGTTTTTGCCAAGGAGGAACCTTAGAGACAGTCTCTGATCAGGGAATTTGCCTTTGAATCGGTAGTCATCCTTCATGTCGGTTGGCTTGAGGTATCTCTCATCCGCAGAAAGCGATTTGTAGAAGGACTTGGAAGCATGGGACATGTACGAGTCCTTCGGAACTCCTAGACTTGGTCGTCGGAACTCCTCTCTCTGATCAAACTCCCGTTGTGGTTGAATATCTTCCGTCAGCTGCTCCGTGGTGGTTCTCGAGATTGCTGGCGTAGACTGCCTTCTCAATCCCGGACTGGGTCGGTCGAAGCTGGTCGATGCAGAAAGCTGGCCAGGGTCATTGCCTTCCGTTCCTTTCCGCTCAGGGTTGCAGATGTCCCATTCCATGATGTATCCATTGATGTCCCGCTCCAAATCGTATTTCTTTGCCGCGTCATCAGAGCTTTCACCCGTGTTCTCATTGCTTCCTATGAGGTCCAGAACCTCACATCGGCCTAGATCTACTGTTCTTGGGTCCGGAGTAAAGGTGTCGGTAGGTCTGTTATTCGTCCTCTTCCATTCGCGTATATCCCGGATTCCTTTCTTGGTCGTTTTGTCACCCCTCCACTTGTCATGCCGCCAGACACTTCACAAGATTGCAGTCCTCAGAATGGCCTCCATTCCTCTCGTGAGGACATTTGACACCCTCAAGAGCGCTGCGCAAAGTGTCTGTTCGTTTATACTGTGCCTCAATGGAAATGGCATGACTGCGGATCTTCTTCTTGACATTCTCCTCGGCGCGGTCTCTGAAGTCCTGCTTCGTCTCATCGTTTCCATCTTGCTGGTTCAACTTCTGTATCTCAAGTTGGACTTCTTTGTCCCAGTAGGACTTGTTCCCAATACGAGACAGGAAGTTGGGACGTTCATGTATCTCAATGCAGCCAAAGTAATGTGCCAAAATGTCCCGGATGACTTCGGGCCCGTGGGGTTCCGCGGAGAGACAGGTCGGCGTTGTGTCGTGATCTCCCATGGTCTTCTGGACGAAGGTGATGTATTGACAACAGAATGTGAATGTGAAGTCGCGCCTTGCGGGTCTCAGTTGCCCAGAATGCAAGTCGTGTATCTTGGCTAGCCGTGATTGATCTCAGTGGTCAGGTTGCGCATTCATGAAGCCAACTGTATGGGAACAGGACCATTAAGAGACCGGACCTCGTTGGGGGCCAAAACGAGGCTCCGAGCCAAGTTGCGGTTTTCTCGCTCATCCTTCGCTCATCCTTGACTAGATTGGTCAATGGGTGGTCAGATTTAAGACAAGGTGGTTGGCTCTTGTGTATCACAACCCAATCACAGCCTGCTTGTGGCTCTTCAGCTCCGGCAGGCTGCAGCAACATGCCTCGATCCCACCGTGATGGGCGGGGAAAGCTGTAAGCCGGGGTTCGATATCATAGGCGAGAGAATTTTTGGGAGCAATGTGGCAGATAAGAGGCGCTCAAAACGTCCGTCATATTTAACAATACGACAAGCAGCTAAGATTATGTGCGGTCACACAGAGACCAGAGTACTGTACCCGACAACTCAGCCTCAGCTAACTAAGCTCAATTCGAACTTGATGGGCGATTATCCAGTAAATATTTCCTTACTATTTCGCGAAATTGACGTCCAGAAGCTATTCTTAGTATAGAGGCACAGGCAAATGAGTAGTAGTGATGTGTGTGATGATTTAGCTAAGTGGGCTGCCTAGCTAGGAGGCTAGAAGAAAGCACTAGGGGGCCCTAAGCTATATAGGCTACTTAGGGTACCTATAAGTAGGTACTACTATACTACCCCTTAAACTATAAAACCTAGTAGTAACTATTAATATATATAAAGTAAGTAAAACACTAGAAATCTTATTAAAAGCTAAAACGTTTAAAACTAAGGAGTTTTTAAGTTTATATTAACTTAGTTAATCTTTAGTTAAACTACTAAATAATCCTTATCTTCTAATTAGTTTAAAACTTTAGATTAAACTAATCTTAGAGCTAGCTAATATTAATCTATATTATCCTCTAATCTATTTATTAATCTAAGTATTCTAATAAAGTTATAGTATTTCTATATTTTAAGAGATTTTATAAAGCTATTAATAACTATCTTAAAACTATTAATAAAATAAAGTATAAAAGTTTTATTTATAAGTACTTTTTTAATAATCTATTTATATTAAATATTAATATAGTAAATATAAGCTTAGTTTAATAGATTTATAATATAAAAATATATATTAATACTATTTATAAAGAGTAAAATAAAAATATTTATTTTAGTATTAAATATCTACTTAATAGATCTTTTAATCTATTTAAAAGTAAAGCTAATAAGTATTAAGTTTATAAACTCTACTTTAGTTATATTAAAAGTAATAAATATTTATTTCTTAGTTTTCTAAATAATAAAGGTATTACTAAAAAAGATAATATATTTTCTAATAGAGATATAAAATAGCTAGTTATTAGTAAATAAAGAGTTTACTATATTATAAAAAGCTAAAATTTAATTTAGATTAGTTCTACTAATAATAATATTATAATAGAGGGTTCTTTAGAAGTAATAAAAAAAGTATTTAGTAAAGTATAAATATATCTAAGATAAACTTCTATTAGCTTAATAAAGTTTACTAATATAATAAGTAATATTAATATAAGTACTTTAAGTAAACTAATTAAAGTAGTTAGTTATCTTAATATACTTTTTAGTTTCTATAATAATATATTTATTCTTATCCTATTAAATAAGAAGCTCTTTATAAGAGGGGAAGAGAGTTTTTATAAGTTATAGATCTTAATAGCTAAATTAATAAAAGATAGCTTTAGTATATTTATACTATAAGAAAAAGATCTTCTTAGTTAAAATATTATATTTAATCTAAAAACTAAAGAACTATATAGCTTTATTAAGTTTTTTAAAAGTATATACTTTCTTAAAATTATTATAAATACTTTTAATATACTATTTATTAAGTATAGTAATAATATTATTATTAATATATATTAAAGTATAAGTATATTAATCCTTATTTATAAATAAATAGAGCTTATTATTAATAGGAATAAAGCTAATTTTATTTATTTTAGTATAGATAAGATTAAACTACTAGAGGGGAGCTTTATATAAACTATAAAATATCTTCTTAAGAAACTAAACCTTACTATTATTAATACTAAAGCTAGTAAGTTAATAAATATAGATCTTAATATTATTAGGAATTAGTATTATAAGGAAAGTAGAGTTAAAGTTATATATTTAGTATTTAAATCCTTAAAGAGTAGTAATAATAAAGAATAATTAAAGAGTTATAGCTATAATAACTACTATATAAACTTCTTAAAAAGCTTAATCTTTATGTTTAAAGTTATTATATATAACTTAATAAGCTTTAAACTAAGTAATAATATTATTAATAATAGTCTTAATATTAAAAACCTATTAGCTAAGAAGGACTTTAGTATTATAAAGAGGGTAGATAAATTTATAAACCTCTTTTATAATAAATTACTAGATCTCTTATTTATAAACTTCTTTTTATTTAAGCTAATAAGAATTATCTTTAGCTTATTTAAAGGTCTTTAGAATACTATAGCTTTATAGAAGTATTCTAGAGATAGTAGTAATAATAAAGGTATTAAGAGAGTACTTAAGTATATTATTATATACCTAAATATTAATAATAATATATACTTTTTTATTATAGTTATAAATACTAAAGAGCTACTTATAATAACTAAGAGGTTTAAGGTTACTTTAATAAAGTTAAGTAGAAGTAGTTTTATTATATTATATAGCTTTAATAGCTTTATCTCTATAAGTTTACTATCTATAAATAAGGTTAATATTATTAAGTTTTTAGTTAATAATACTATAAAAAGACTTATTAGAGTTACTATTACTATTATAATACTTATTAGCTTTCTTATTATAATTTATAGTAACTATATTATCTTCTAAAAGGGACTATATAGTTAAGTAAAGTATAATTTTATTTAAAAGTAAAGTTATTAAGTTTAATCTTTTTATAGCTATATTAAAAGCGTTATTATTAGTACTTAAAGATATTAATATTATAGTAATAATTTCTAGAGACTTCTTAAGAGAATTAGAAGTATTTATAGTTATATTATACTAGATCTTATAAGGGTCTAGCCGCCTAGACTAGAAGAACTTAGTAATAATTTAGCTAGACTAAGCTAAAAAGATAGAGAACCCTATAGAGATAGGGTATAGAACCCTCTATAGTAAGGACTTAGTAAGTACTTACTAAAAAGTTAAAAAAGAAGATCTTAGAAGAAGTAAGTAAAAATAATATAATAATACTATACTTACTTTTTAGAGTATTTCTTCTATTAGTTTAACCTAACTATAGCTTATAGCCCCTAAATACTTTTATAATTCTTTTACTTCTACTTTACTTTAAGAAAGTTAGTAATAATAATAATACTATATACCTAAGTAACGCTTACTAATTAAGCTAAAGAACTTACGCTAAATATTTACTAAGCGCTAAGCGAAATAGCTTATATAAACCTATATAGGGAAAATAACCTTAGTAAATAATTAGAGGATAATATAAGTTAATAAAAAGAGGTGAGAAGCTATACTTTAAATAAGGCTAAGAGCTCTAAAGAGGATAAACTACTTATACTAAATACTTACTAAATAGATAATAAGTATATATAAGAGAATAAGGAATATAAGACCCCTCCCTATAGATTAGATAAGCTATAAAGCTAGATATTTATAGCTACTACTAATAAGCTAGCTTAAACTAAAAGGCTAAATAAAGCTATTAACTAAGTATTAATATAGTAGATTATAACTATAATAGCTAACTAATATAAACTAATTACTACTATATTAAGTAACTAAATACTTACTAAATAGTTACTAAAGGTTTATAAGAAACCTTTAAACTATAATATAGCTTATTTTATTAGTAAATCTATTAGTATAAAAAGAGAAGATTAGTTTATTATAATAGAAGAGGCTTATAAGTACTACCCTAGCTACTCTAATAGCTAATATATCTAATAAGCCTTAAGTATAATAGAGTATACCTTATAAATAGAATAGTGAATTTATTAATAAACGCTTATAGATATATTAGGGAAATAAGTTAACCCTATATAAGAAAACTTTAGAGTTTTTATAAAAAAGCAATATATAGCGTTTAAACTCTAAGAATAAAACTACTATAATACCTTAAAGTAATACTATTAAAAAGATAATAAGAAACCTATTATATACTAAGCTTATTAGAAGTCTATTAATTAAGCCTTTAGTAAGCTAAATATAAGTAATATAAAAGCTTATATATTCTTTTAGGGCTTTATTAAGACCCTAAAAAACGAACTTTTTAAGTAAGATATTAATTATACTAATATATATATTATAGCCTTATATATATAAAGATTATAAGAGATTTTAGAAGGGAGATATATAAGAAAGCTTATTAGCTATTCTAAGTTATATAAGTAACTATATTTAGGATCCCTAAACTACCTTTATAAGAGTAGCTTATAACCCCCTTAGTTAATAGACTTAAAAGAGCGCTATCTAGAAACTTTATCCTAAAATAACTACTTAGTAAACTCCTATATAAAGCTTAGCTCTAATAGTAAGCCTCTTAATCTTTAGGGAACTTAGTACTATAATTATAAGAAATATAGGTATATCTCCCCTAATTATACTAAGCTTTATACTTAGTTAATAAGTAATAATAAAAACCTAAACTTTAGAAAGAGTAAGATTAATACTATTATTATTCCTTATATAACTAACGCTAAAAACTTAAGAAATAAGTAAGTATAAAAGTAACCCTAAGAAGTATTATACTAAAAATCACCTTAATTCTTATAGGGAAAACTATTAAAAGTTAAGTAATTATACTTTAAGTATATAATAAAGTTAAATTAATAATAGATATAGATATTTATACTATAGTTAACTTTATATAGAAAGACCTTATAATAAAACTCTTATTAAAGGAGACTATTA